CATTCATCTTTTCTTCCCTCCTTCCGTCTGTTCATCGGTCTATCTGTCCATCCATCTATCCAACCACCCTTTCTTCATCACAAACTCAAAGGATGACTGCTACTGACCCAGCCTAGATTTGCAACGAGTGTGTGATCTGTAAGTCTTTCCAGCCCATTTAACCTTCTTTCTCTCCTCCCTGTGCTCCATACCTGCCCTTCTCACGAGCAGCCCTGAGATGAGGTGCCAGATGCACTATGCAATCCGAGGCTTGCCTCAGCGGAGACTAGGACCATTTGTCCAAACATCCTCCACCTCTGTGATGTCACCCAAGACCGTCATGGAGGCTTCCTCCAGCTCTTGGCAAACTTGTGACATGACCGGCTGACGCATTCCAAGGAAACCCGCTGAGGGGGATACATGACTCACCGAGGCTTGAGATTGCCAAAGCACCTTTAGTGACATTACCATGAAGCACGCAACAGGCAAGGCAGCATCTGGAGAGAGAAAGGTCAGCCTCCCAAGTTAAATGCACTGCCCTGTCATCTGTTGTGTGGGCCACGGATGAAGAGTGTACTAAAGGAGGTTTGGTTTTTTTAACCCCTGTGGTAGCCACGGGCATTGTGGTAATGGTAATAGTTCCAGATCTGGTGGTAACAGTGAGCACACGACAAACGCTGAACAAGTTCCTCCCTCAAGAAGTGATGAGGTGATGGATGGCTTAAGTAACTGTGACTACTCCCATTCTGATCTCTTTGCAGTTTTGTGGCTGGCTGCTGCTTTTGGAAAGAGTTTTCTAATACTTTCTTAAAAAAATTGGGATATGTTGTGTCCAGGGGAAATATGAACAGCAGTAACACTTGCACAAAAGCACAGCATTTCTGAGAGCTTACAGTAAGCCTGACTTCAAAAAAGCACCATCATTCCACAGAGCACCAAGGGAGGAGTTGTTGCCATTGCTTTCTAGGTCAGACAGCACCAGGCTTCAAAGCAAGCATCAGTTGTCCTTTGCCTGAATCCCAAGAGGCTGGAATGTGTTTTGGATAAAATATACAGACCTGTGGGCAAGAACCACACAGCAGGGTTACTGACAGGGCAGCTCTGGGATGGGCTAAGTTTTACACAGACAAGGAGATGTCAAATGGAGCCACGGGAGCTGATGGGAGCTGTGGTTGCTCAGTCCCCCAGAGAGCTGCCAGCAAAGGTGTCCCAGGCAGAAAAACTGCACAGTGATACGATGGTGGCCCTGAGGACATGTAGGTGGCTGTGGTATCAGGTGGGTCTCTGCAGTACCAGTCTCTAGTCCCTGTCCCCGCCTGTTTCACGCATCTACTTTGCCGTGATGCAGTTTGACACGGGCGTGGGAGAGCTGCCCTGGCAGGAGCCTGTAAAACTCACGCAGGATGCAAAGGCGTTTGGTAAGGAAGGCTTAGGCAGGGCAACCTCGGAGGAACACTGCCAGTGCTCTCACCAGCGGAAAGAGAGTTGCAGCCAAAGGTGACTCTGACGATGGGCGGTGCGGGTGAGGAAGAGCTGCACCAGCGGGATGGAGGTGGTGCCAGCAGAAACCATGGAAAGAATGAGGGAGGTTCACTCTCTGAGACAAATTATTCGAGGTGTGTCATCAGGACCTGGCTGTGTGGTTGCTGGACTGGCAGTCTATGTCCAGCCAGCACAAGCTGTTGAGGTGGCAGGCTGGTATGTGGCCCCAAGCTTTTCAGTTGCTCAATCATGTGCAGGAGTGAGAAAAACACAGGGTCTGGAAGGGCTGTTACAGGCTGGGAGTAAGATGAGCAACAGGATAGGTGGAGAAAGCCCAAGCCAAATCAAGACAGTCAGCTAAAAGTCAAGATAGACAGACAGAAAAAACCCAAACAAATCCTGCACAGGCCTGGAAGTGGACTATTCCTCTTAGATTTGCCTGACCCGAACAGCTGAAGGCATGATAAACCCCAGGCTGTTGATGTTACTGCAATTTAAAACTTCTGCAAGTGCAGCAATGGGCATGCGGACCCAAGTGCTGGAGCAGAAAGATGCATCTTTAGCTATTGTGGCTGCTCAGGTGCAGAGGGGCTGGCAGTGAGCAGGGCAGGGGTAGAGTCTGAAGCTTTTCAGCCACTGGAGCTCTAGTAATGGAATCTCAGATACACGGGCTCATCATTTACAAAAGGTGGTGGGGTGAGAAGACAGAGTCCCCTTTTGTGATGCTCCTGCCAAGTGGAGCAGAGGAGCAGAAAGAGCAGCATGTGGGTTGGAGCAAAAGCTCAGCTGGGCTGCACGTGCCTCTGGCCGAGTGTCTCCAGGGAAACCAAGAAAAGTGTCTGGGGAATGGACAGGGACCAGCCAGAGCAGTTCACAGACAGCCGGGGAAGCCTGGGGGGGAAACAAAGATGTGTCACCATGTACCCTAACTGGGTCACAGCAAGAATGGAAGGAGGCTCCAAGAATTTATTTTTGCCCCATCTTCCCATTGGGAACAGCTACACTAACAACGAGGCTGTGGCTGGGGTTGCCATTAGCTGTCACCAGCTACCCTGCAGAACAGGTTCCAGTGTGACAACTGGATTACAGGAGAGAGGAAGTGAAAAGCTCAAGAGCAGCTAATAAGAGCCCTGTGACACAGAGTTAACCCAGTTAAGTGGGAATGACCAATGAGCCCCTTCTAACTCGATGCCAAAAGGAGCCAGAAAGGACCAGCCAGACCAGGGGAAAATTTGTACCAACCAGACTCATCTTAAAACATTGACTGACCCACAATGAGGGCTGGGTAAGTCTGTAGCACTGCCAAAAACGAGCCTTTCAGTTACCTCAGGGACAGCAGAAGGTAGCCACAGGGTGGCTGCAGACCCAGCACCTCAAGCATAAACCCTAGAGGATAACCCAGTGTTTGAAAAAGATAGTCAAGATACCCCATGGTCAAGATCAACACAGACTGTTCTGTGATAGACCTCAAGTCACACAGCGAGAGCCAGCTTGCCTGCAGCCATAAGGAGGTGCAAAAAGAGTCCCTTCTACTCCTACATCGCCATACTTGATCTGGAAGATTTTCTTGTCGTTAGTCAATGTTGCTTGGTCAAGCTTTCCTCCTGAGAAAAGTGGCGATGAGCAAAGCATCACTTATTTTGGCTGAGCCAGCCCGGGTCTTGATTGCACTTTGTTCACCCGCAGGCCAGTAGCAGGCAGAAATGACATTGTGCCTGCAATGTGCAGAAGCTGGTGGTGTATCTGCCAGAGAAAGGCCACAAGAGCAGTGTGTGCTAGAAGGTCTGTTGTGAACCCGGCAGAGTGAGCAGCACGGAAAGAAACTCAATTCCAGGTCATAGCCTTGCAACCAGAGCTTGCATGCAGCAGCCTGGAGCATCTGGGCTCTCCTGCTGGGCGCTGCTGGAATGATCTATCGCGTGTAATGCCAGCCTGCTCAGATCACACCTTTATTTTGCTAAGTAGACACGCACTCCCCATTGGGGAGAGAAGTGCCATGAAAACCAGCAGATTCTGGGCAGAGCTATTTCATCACACCCCAGGTCTGCCTGACCACACCTTTGCTGTGGCTGGTGCTTGTCAGAGGAAAGACAGCAGGGAAAGTAAGTCCAAGTCAGGACGCGAGTAACAAGCTGGGGAAGAAGCAGAGCTATGATTTCACATGACTCATCTTTTCCGAAGGGGTACAGGCCACACAGCCAGGGCAGAGCGCTTGGGCAAGCTGTTCCCACCTTGCCTTCCAGCTCCAACTGCAGGGACACTACTCGGTTCCCATTCACAGCCCCACTGTTCTCCGGACAGGAAAAGGACAGCTACGTTCCTGAAGATTGCTGCTGGCCAAACGACCTGCCACAACCAGCCTCCTGCCACTGGATTGCTGCGCATGTGTGGACCAGCTCCTGGGTTCCCTTTCTTGGCAGGTCACTGACAGGCTCTACAAGATGATGTGAGGCTGATTTAAGCCCTGTTACCTACAAGCTCAGCTGAAATTTATTACTGGACCACACATAGCAGAAAAGTGTGGAAAGACACTTTTGAGAATAAGATCCCCCCTTTCATTTGCTTGATCTCAAAAGCATCTCATACAGCGCACACTGTGTAAAACAAAGGGCTGTTCTAGCTACTAAGAAGAAAACTAGCTCTGTCCCAGCCAAAAACCAGGATATATGGGCAGGCAGTT